GATGACTCCTCACATACTCACATCCTCAGCTCATGACACCATTGTTGAGCAACTCATTTTTTTCCCACAGCCCTCTAAAACCAAAGACCAGGATTGGTAGACTGTTCTGGATTACTCCCAAAATAACCAGAAGCCAACAACTATCTCAATTCCAAAGACATCTGGCCTAGAGTCCCACTAGAAGTCAGAATAGGCAAGAAATTCTAAATTCATGTCAAATTTCACAAGGGACAAGCCAAATGACATGTTATGAATTTATATGAGGAGGAAAACGATAATATTCCCAGATATGCAAGAGTTTCTCACTCCTTGCTCTTTACTAGTCATCGGTACAGGCAACAACAGAAGACCTCCATCAGCGAGCTTGGCACCAGCTACAGGACCCACGGCCACCAGAGCAGCCACGGGCCCATGTCCAGCAGCCAGCTCACTGCTATCATCACCCCTCCAGATCTGGTACAGAGCCCAGAAAAGGTGTGGTGTTTGGAAAGTTGATTTATTACTACTCACTTTTTTTTTTTTTTTTTTTTGCAATGATCCAAGTATAACAGCACAATGGCCTCTCCGAGGTAGTGTTCGGTGTGAGTGCGCACACATGGCAGCAGATCAGTTGCTACTGAGCCACACAACCGCGCAACACTTTACTCCCCCGGGAACACCGCCACACAACTGCACAACACTTTACTCCCCCGGGAACACCGATGGCCAGCGCGCCAACCATGCGTGAGAGCCCCCATCGCCTTTAATTTGATGCAAAATTTCCACGATATTCATCTCCACTTAGGCAAGAGTTGCTTTTCGCAGAAAGCTAGGAACGCCAGATAGGACCTGGATGGTCAGCACATGAATGAATGTCCTCATCGGGTTAGAGCTAATTGTTTTTAGGTTACCAAAGAATAAATTGGGGATGAGACCAAATTTGTTTTGCCTTCCTAGCCAACCTAGAGTAATTTGGCAAGTGTGATTTAATTCTTACAACATTATACCCATTTATGTTTTTTTCTTTGATAAAAAGTCTGGCTTTTTTGGTCATAACCTGCTAATATGCATATTTTAGGATGTTAGTTTTAGGATCCTAATGTATATACACTACCAGGTCACTAGCCACAGTGCAAACATCATTGTGACAAGAGAGCAGAGGCCTGGGGCAGCACAGAGCCTTGGTAAGAGCTAGCAGAACTGACAAGTCACAGGCCCAACTATTGGGAGAACAGTAATAGCAACACTCATGATACTTAAACTGTGTCAGGTACTAGTGCAGACACTTTACATGTCTTTATTCGATTAACCTTCACCAACTCTATATGGTGTAAGGATTTTTAGTAACTCCGTTATAAACAACCTGAGTCCCAGAGAGGTTAAGCAACTTGCCCAAGGTCACACACGAGTAACTGGCAGGACCAGGATTGCAATGCAGGCAGCCTGGCTCAGGAGTCCCTAACTTCTAGCCCTGTGCCTTACTGCCTCTTATGAGTAGAGATATAAAATGTAGACCTAGGGTGAAAAATATACTGTTTATGAGTTTGTTCTCCAGGGTTCCACAAACTATTCATTTTAAATCAGGTTTAACCTATGAACCAGCTTGAACCCCAAGGTAATTTTTAAGTAATCAAGAAAACGATACCCAAAAAAGGGAGACAGCGTTGGAATGAAGCACTGGGACGCGCCCTGCAGGACAAAGCAGAGGCAGCTCCCTCGCGGCGCTGCCCCAGCCGCGAAGAGGAAGCAGTCCACACAGCCCACAGCCACCACAGGGGAGGCCGAGAGGGCAGAGAGGTTTGGTTGACGTTCACCTTCGGACACCGTGAGCATGAGGAGGAAGCAGACTGGTGCTTCCTTGGGTTCACGTGAAGTATGATGGAGAAAAAGAATCGCACTAATGGGTAAGGAAAAGGCCATAGAATGTGGGTAAAACAGTAGTGAGATAGCTCATAGATAAATCTGAAAAGATCATTCGTATGTGCCTAGGGCAGAGAGCACACATCACACTGGAAAGTACTCTACATTGAATTTACTGCCAAGATACGAACAAGTCCCTCTATTTGTAAATATTACCAGCCCTAAGTTTTATAGAAAAGCTGAAATTGCAAGGAGAGGTAAGCGTATCTGACTACAGCCCTGGCCACGCCACCCCAGGGTCGAATCCACTGGCTGCCTAACAAGCAACGCATCTTTCCTAAGTGACCCAGAATCAACATTTTGAATAACACAAAACTAACTTTTTGTTATTAAGTTTATTTAACAGGATATTTATATCTACATTTGTATTTGTCTTTTACCAGTACAAACACTCTTTTAGGAATTATTTTCTTAAATTTTTATAAGTTTCCTAAAATATGTACAACACATCCACAAATACACATTCACAGACAATTTACATGATACTT